ATGAAGCATATCCCTTGAGGAGTACACAGTCAAGTGAGGGAAGACAGACCAGGTTAACAGATAACCCAATATAATACAATACACATTATAAAAGAGTGAAGTAAAAGTACCATTGAAACACTAACTAGAAAAAACATCTTGTTCAACACTAAATAGGAAGTGACCAACTTAACCTAGGATGCTGACATATATTCACTAAGTACCTCCTTTAATTCAGTCACTGTGCTAGGCACTGAGGAGATGGAAGGGAACACAGCTATCTTCATGTAGCTTAAATCAAGCTGGAGAGACAAACCAAGAACAAATACATACACAAATTAAAGTAAATTAAAAGTAGCTGCAAGTGCTGTAAGAACAATAGGGAGAACTAATTAAAATCTGTAAATCAAGGAGGGGCTTTTAGAAAACGATAATATTGCAGTTAAGGCATAGGTGAGAGTCACAAGGTCTTACAGTAGATTTCAATTTCAACGTTAGCATTTTAGTGATGTTTGTTACCACAGCATATCATTAACCTATTCTGACTAATAGAGAAACATTGGAAGAACTGATCAGGCTCTAGTCCCATATTATACTTATTTCCTTGTAAAATATATTCTCATAATGTTTTTATAGGTGTTTTATTGCCTATATTTGATGGGAACTTTGTGATTGTTCTTGTTAATTAATTTTCCTCTGCCCATAATCAATGTTCTTCAAGCAAATAATAATAACTATGTCACTAAGTTAATTTGCCAAGTAAATATCAGACTAGGTAATCAAAATTTATTCCACTCACTCTTTTTTTTTCTTCTTTCTGTGTTTTCTTCCTTCCTTACCTTCTATCTTCCTTCCTGCTTCTCTTTTCTATTGTTTCATCCACTTCTCTCCCTCTGTCCTTCCCAACCTCTGTGAACAGCGGCTGCTCAGTAAACGCCACTGGTCACCCTAATTGACAAAATAGTCTCCAGTATACTAAATAGTGCGTCATTCCCCCCACCACCATCCTTTTCTTCCTTTCCTCTCTTCCTTCTCTCTCCCAGATCCCTTTGTTCTTTTTACTTCCTTGATGATTCAGAGATTCAGCCTAACAGTTTGGGGTGGATATCGGGAGTGAGGAATTCTACTTCCCAGAGGTTCCTTTTGGGTTTCTAGACTGTGTAGTGGGACCCCATCTCCTCAACCTTCCTTATACTTAATGCGTACAATCTCCTTTCCTATAAAAGTTATACTGTTACTGTAATCAGAAACAGGGGATCACAAAAATTTTGACAAAAGGAAATCACATAGCTAAAGAAAACTAACAGGTCCTTAGGCTCAGAGTGCTAGCCTGAATTCCTGCAAAGTGTAACCAGACCAAAGGAACCAGATTTTAAAGTGAACTGTGAAGGATAAAAATACCTAGTGAACCATGCCGGCACCGCATGACAAGGATTACATATAAGTAGCTGGTACTGGACAATGGTGCTCATCTACTTACTTACACGACTTTGATCACTGCTCCTGAGGTCCTCCTTAACTCTTAAATTCACCTAGTTCCTGTCCTTGACTTTGTCTCTGGTTTTCAAACCTAAGCTCAATGGTTGTCCTCATCAGCAGATGGTGCTTTTTGATTTTACTCTTCAAATTCCTGTCTGCTGCGTTTTTGTTTGTACATTTCCTTTGGCTCCATTTATTTTAAGTCAATCCTTAGAAGCCTACCTTAACTCTGACTCTAACAGATCAGCCCAAGATGGAATTTGTCACATATGAAGAACCTATAAATACTTTCAAAGGTGAACGAAATGAAGTATTTAGTGCAAAAGACTGTGGTGTGCTGGAGGTGTCTAGCACTGGCTCACGAGAACCAATTGTTTGGTTTTCAGGAATTTTGCAAGTCATTTATTAAACATAATCATTACTAAACCTTAAGTTACTTAAACCTATAGTTAAATAAATTATATTAAAATAAAAGGAATGCACACATAAAACTCATTATTCAATTCTTTTACTACATTTTATTATCTTCTATGCTCTTGAAGTTACCTGCCTCTAACTGACTTGTATGATGGGGATGCTATATAACAGTGTGCCTTTGCACATATCTTCCTAACTCTGCATTCAGTGACATAGGCCATGATGAGAGTTTTTACATCATGGAAATTAGCAAATGATACAGAGAAAGATTTTGTCTCCCACACAGCCAGATATTAAACGCTTAGCGCACCACTACAAAAGGTCGCCGGTGCCTTTCAGAAGTGATAAATGAAGACAAAAGCATGGGATGAGGGAATATTTGTACAATTGTTCCTGAAAAATGCAGGAGTTATGGGTGCCAACTTCCTGAACAGTTGAAAATCCATGTATACCAGTTGAATTCCCAAAAGCTTAACTGCTCATAACCTCCTACTAACCAGAAGCCTAAATGATAACATAAAGTCTATTAACACATATTTTGTATGTGTTATGCACTATATTTTTACAATAAAGTAAGCTATAGAAAAAAATTTTTTTCAGATTGTCTTAAATTTCCAGAAATTTTTCTAGTGTATTTATTGTAAAAGAATCCTTGTGTAAATAGACACACACAGTTCAAACCCATATTATTCAAGGGCCAACTGTGGTTATGTCCCCAGAATCTGTTCTCCTACTATCATTTTCTTAAACAGGACCCCAACTTTCTCAGCCATGTGGTCTGAATGCTACCTTGCCTTCAGCTGCAGGACTGGAACCTCATTATCTTAAGCCCAGTGGTTTACCCGAAACCTCTGACTACAATCAGCCTGCTTCAAGGATGGATTGATGATCTAAATCAGGCCAACTGTGGTCATAGAGGCTGATTTGAAGGGCGTGCCATTCATAACCTGTCATTCCTGCCAGACATGAGAAAGGAAGTTTGTAGCCATCTTGAAAGCAAGAATGAGACTGCCCAGGTATGAATATAAGCTGAAGAAGCAGAATCAAAAAATGGTGAAAGAAAAACTAGGTTCTAGACCAGGTACAGGCTGAAGATTTGGTCACAGATTTTCTGTAAACAGGTGAATTCCATTTGTCTTTAGTCTGATTGACTTAGATGTTTATTTACTTATACTAAGACAATTCCTTCCTGATATATGACATGGGATTCATCTCTTTAGATAAGGTAACTTCGGGAGAAAGTAAATACTCTCAACTCTTCTTGTAACTGTGTGCATATAGATGCCTGACTCTCCAACCAAAGAACAAGCTCTTCGTAAGGTGCAACTTTTCATTGCATGTCTTTGTATTTGTAACTAACTTAACACTGTGCCCTGCACATAGTAGGGAGCAAGTAGTAGCAAAATGTGTGGTTTGGGTTTGCTTAATTGAATTGGTTAGTAAGTAAGCGAGAGATTGTGCAAAACATAAAGTGAATCAGTATAAATTCCTCTTTCCTTCTTTGGCTAAGTGGCCAGTTTGAATCCTGTTGTCATTTGTGACTGTCCCAGGGCAAAAGGAATCAAGCAGTATGGCACTTGAGTTCAACAGTCCAGTCTTTCAGCTGGAGAAGGTTATAGTTTTCTGCTGAAATACAGTGAAAATAAGGCCACAGCCTTTCAGTTAGCCTGTCATTCAGTTAGGAGTAAGAAAACTCCTTTGGTCTATGTTTTCATGATGCCAAATGTCTGGATAAGAATTAAAAAGTGCGGTCAACATGTCTCAAAACATCTCTGCATGTTAACCACCTCAAAAAAATATCCAGTTATTTAACTGGATTTCTCATTGTCCAGAAGTCTCAGTTGTTTATGTTAGCGAAAGTGATGGCAACAAGTGTGACGGCACAGAACTGTGTGGCACTGGGCTCTCAATGACACCAGCCCCTTATGACTTGGAGAGGGAGGTAAGTATAAACATAGGCAAACACATGAGTATTTCAGTTACATTTCAAGGTAGAAAGAGGAAACAACATTGAAATAGGAATGCTGTCTCCACTTTCCCATCCCTTTTGTCTTTTCTCCACAACCCTATTGCTGTCCAACATACAATAAGCCTTATTTATTAATATTAATTTAATTCTCTCTCAATTTCTCAGAATGTAAGCTCCAGGAAGGCAAGTATTTGTCTCTATTTTTGTTCACTGCTCTATTTGCAGTACCTTAACAAGACTCTGGCTTATAGTAAATGCTCAATAAACATTTGTTGGACAAATGAAATAGACTGATGGATGGCAATTTGTTAATCAATTCATAAATCAGAAATTAAAATGGCCTGGTGGAAAAAGCAACACAAAGCTGTTTCTCTAAATTAAGTTAAAAGACCCTTTGACTTGATGAGTGCTGGCTCCACTACAATCTAACTTCATGACTATAAACAGTTGGCTTCACATTATGTTCCTTGATTTCTCCATCTAGAAAATGGGGATAACAGTATTCCTCCAAAACTTTTACATATGCCAAAAAAAGGCAATAGCTGTAAAGGTGTTGGGCTAAAGATGCAATGGAGAAACTTAGCATGCCCGGATTTTCATAAATTATTATCTCAGTTGTCCATTTAATAATTAAACTGGTAATATTCCATTTTTCAGCTTTTGTTACTGTACATACCAGCAGCCATGCATTAATCAGCTTGTTATATTATTGTTGCTTCCAAAGTATTGCTATTATAAATCTTAATTATAAATAAAATCACAAATTAGGCTGTCATTTCCTACCTTCAAATGTGCCTTCAAAGTCACAAACGTTTCAGTGATAAAAGTAGATAAACTCAGCAAATCCAATCTAAACAGTACTCATTTAAAAATATGAAATGGCATTTCTCCAGGATAATCACTGTTCCCCTCAATATGTCAGTAGCAAACCAGTCTTTCCGATGTGGAAAAGATTACTTATCCTTTCCCTATTTTCTCCTTCAAGCTAAATTGCCTTTTGCAAGGTCTCCCTTCCAATCTTTAAAAAGAGGCCCTGTACCTTTAATAACAGAGACCTGGTGAGAGGTTTCTTTCCAAACTTGTTCCCTGGCTTCCAAGTGACGAAACCAGCTGTAATTTGAGAGCAGAGAGATCCTCAGGATATCATTAGCCAAAGGAAAACTCCACATTCCCACCCAGTCCAGGAGTTGAAACAGTATCGGAGGGCGAGAGCCTTTCTCTCCAGCACAGACTCCATCTCCCAGGAGCAAGGAGGAACTCCGTGGGGGAGAGGGGGGCAACAGAGCCCGCGTCCTGCCAGGGCCTGGGAGCAGCTCCGGCCAGTGACTCCGCCAGGAAAAAGCCGGCTGAGCTCCAGGAGCACAGCGCGAAGGTGCATCGTGCGCTCTGCAGCCTTGCTTCCCAGGCGCCGGTGTCACAGCCACATGAAGCCTGCTGGGGAGGGAGGGCCAGGGTGCAGCAAGCAGGTTGGGACCGAGGCTGACGTCGTCTCAGGGAGGCGCTGACTCCCAAGGGGACCCCCTTCCTCGTGCCTGGGTGAAAAATCTTCTCCAGGGGTCCCCGGTCATCCTAGATATCCAGGATGGTGTTTCTGAAGTTCCTCTGGGTAGGTTTCTTCTGCCACCTGTGCCAGGGCTACTTTGATGGCCCTCTCTACCCGGAGATGTCCAATGGGACTCTGCACCACTACTTCGTGCCCGATGGGGACTATGAGGAGAACGACGACCCAGAGAAATGCCAGCTGCTCTTCAGGGTGAGTGACCACCACCGGCGCTGCTCCCAAGGGGAGGGGAGCCCTGCCAGCGGTCTTCTGAGCCTCACCCTGCGGGAGGAGTTCACCGTGCTGGGCCGCCAGGTGGAGGACGCTGGGCGCGTGCTAGAGGGCATCGGTAAGAGCATCTCCTACGACCTGGACGGGGAAGAGAGCTACGGCAAGTACCTGCGGCGGGAGTCCCACCAGATCGGGGATGCCTACTCCAACTCGGACAAGTCCCTCACTGAGCTGGAAAGCAAGTTCAAGCAGGGCCAGGAACAGGACAGCCGGCAAGAGAGCAGGCTCAACGAGGACTTCTTGGGGATGCTGGTCCACACCAGGTCCCTGCTGAAGGAGACGCTGGACATCTCTATGGGGCTCAGGGACAAATACGAGCTGCTGGCTCTCACCATCAGGAGCCATGGGACCCGACTAGGTCGGCTGAAAAATGATTATCTGAAAGTGTAGGTGGAAGGCATACCTCCTGGAGAGGGCATCGAGTAAGGCCCCTTGTAGAGGGTGGGAGACAGAAGATGGGGCTAATATTTCCCTTATTCTTATTATTTTTTTATATCTGGATTTGCACTTGGAGAATGATCTGACATGATCTTTTAAAAGGAAGAAGTGAGAGTTGAGTGATGTGGATTTTGTACTTTATTTATGTTATTGCTATTGATTTATTATCTGGAAAGAATTTAAAGCCATGCCTCCCACATTTCCTGAAGGGTTTATAACTCTGCAGAGACACCTGTTTCATTCATATCTAGAAGGACACAGTTGATGCAGTAGGGACAGATTAAACTTCCCTACCCTGGAGATTATGTGAAATCATCCAGGAAACATAAGGCATAGCTCCGTTCCACCCTCAGCCTTCTCTCTTGGGCTCTGCAAGCTGTCAAAATTGCCTGTTATCAGATGAGGTCCAAGGCGCTGCTCTGCAGGCTTGCCAGAGGATGGAAGTCTCTCCTTCTCCTTTTCTCTTTTATTTATTAACCATGGTCTCCAAGGTTTTGTTTTTAGCTTTTTGTTTATTTTGTGGGTTTTTTGTTTTTGTTTTTATTTTTGTTTTGGTAAGAGTACTGGCTAAAAATTGTAAACAAATCATCCTTTACAGGGAGATGTCTGAGGTGTCTCTGTGGGTGTGTGTATGTTAAAATGGCCACATTTAAGAAGTCTAAGCTAGCTTTGTGGTGGTTCCACACCCATGTTGATATGCTGAGTTTCTATGTCTCTCATTGTGTCTGTAGCACTGTGTCATCAGTGCTACAACCCATTACAAAGAAATAGGTTGTTTGAACACACTCTCAAATGCCTAGGATTTAAGTTACCAATGTTTTCTTTCTCATTGGGGGTTTTGCTTCTGTTTGCTTATTGGAAACTTGTACTTTAAGTAGAGGGAATTCTAAATCTAATAACACCTTAATTAAGTTCTATTACTCAGCCAATAAATATGCTCTTATAATACTGGCTTATTTTCTCATTTGTATCCATAACTTTCATATTGTAAATAGGAGCCAATGCAAAAGGAAAGCATAGGATGGGATTTAAGCCACTTTACTTGGAGTAAAGGTAAAGGTGGCAGAGAGATAGCTACATATTTGACAATCCTCCCTTCCCTGGCCACCCTTACCACTCTCAAAAGGAAAGAAGCCATTCCAGAACTTTATCTCTGCTGATCTGCCTAAAACTCCAATTTTCTCCAGCTTTTCCTGTAGAATCAATTGGAAAAGTGTATGACAAGAGTGTACCTTATTTACCCTCATAATGCTAAGTTATAGTAACTATAATAATCTTTAATAATTTTGAAGCCAGTTCTCTGTTATTTAATGCATGGTTCAAAAAGGTAGAAATGCACTTTATTTCATATCATTCCTCAACCAATTTTCACCCTCACTTTAAGTATGCTTTCCTTTCACACAGACGCACAGATACACATACGCAGGAAAATAAATAAATGTTCATAATCTGCTCTTCAATAGTGAGCCAGTTTTTTCTCTCCCATGTATGAGGAATACATAGCTTTCTATTCCTATGAAATGTCCAGTATCCTCCTATTACAGATGCCCAAAAAGTAGCTGATCCTTAGCTAGTTGTAACAGCTCCAGTCTCTTCAGTTTAAGTACAGAACTTTCCTAACTGTTTTTTTCAAGGAAGCTGACAGATGAGAGGGAATGGCCTGAGGCCTGAATCTTTGCATCACTACCTCACTGTTTAAAATAAAGAAGGACAACATATGAAATAATATTTAAAATACTCTTTTATAATTTCATAACCAAAGGGCCTGCTTTTAGCTGCTACTACATTGGTGTGTGGGAAGAAGATAAAAGATCATTTAAAAGGGGTTTCTTCTTTATTCCATGATAAGAAAAAGATAACAGCAGAGGCAAAAGAGATGATATTTGGTGGTTGAATGATTGTAATTTGTAGTCACAGCCCCTCGTATCTCAAAATTTTCATATCACTCACATCACAGTGCTCAAGTGAATTCACAGACCTATTAAATATCATCTCCTTGATTTTCCCAGCTGTAATAGAAGACTATTAGGCATGTGATATGGATGGAAAACTGGTTTCTTTATGCATGATAATTGCAATCAATCCATTGGTAATGTTTGCATATCATATTATGTTAAGAAGGAGTTAAAAGACACAGAAGGAAAAAGTGCTGTCCCCAAGTGGAGATGCCTGTCACGGAATCAGAACGGGGAGTGGTGACACATCTGCTGCACATTTGAAAGTCCTGAAATAAGAGTATGTACAAGGCTCTTTCCAGTGGTAACATTCTGTGATTCCTACAAAACCAGAACAAAATTATCTGACATTGAATCATCCATTTAAGGCTAGATGTACAGCCAGTAATCCCACAGTCTTGTCTAAATGGACCCAGAGGGTAAATGGGAACTTCTAGGTGGGGAGAAGAAGCCCCTGGACTGTCAACCCAGAGGCTAGTATCATGCAGCTTTCCCAGATCCTTGTACAGTGGGGAGCCAGCCCCATTCAGATCTTTCCTCCTTAGTCACATGGTGACAAATTCTCTTTATTTATTTTTAGTGTATTTTTTTAGTGGCATATAGTTGGTATACAATATTATATTGGTTTCAAGTATATGACAAATTCTCTTTTAAAGTAGTAGTTCTCTATTTCTTAGACCATGCAATATTTTGTGAATCTGAAGAAAACTACATACTTTCTTCCCTGAGAAATCTATTTACAAAAACATCCATACACTTTAAGCTATTCGTTTTTTATAAGTATTTTTCGATCACTTAATATGTATCAGACAGAGTTAGGTTATGGGTAATCCTGGGATATTACAAAGCTTTGGGGCTTCATCTAACCAAAAGCATAAAAAGCCTCTCAGAGTTTTGTTTGCAGTAGGAGGCCTTTATTAGTAGTAATAGTAGAAGTAATAGCTATAATAACAAAACAGCTAACTGTGTGGGAACTCAGTATTATTGGTCAGGGCCTATACTAAGAACCTTGCTGAGGTTATTTCCATTAATTCTAACAGCAAACTCTATGAGGAAAGTACTATATAAAAGGAATTAATATATGCTAAGTGCTTGGAACAATACCTGACAGAGCGAATCACCAATAAATGTTAGTTGTTATTACTGCTATCGTTATTTTTATAACTGAGGCCCAGAAAGCCTAGGTAATTTTCCCAAAGTTAAAATTTTTTGATATCTTACATACCTCAGTAGGCTCTCATTTTTGAAACTGGGATAGCTAGTAGAATATATGATCAAATAAAAGAAAAATGTGCGGAGTAGGGGCCCACTGGGGCTGCCAGTTGTCCCCTCCTTATAGGCCAGTTGGCCTACACCCTGCAACAGTTCAGATGTCTGACTGTTGTCAGTCAGAAGCCAAGTGGTTACTCTGTTTACAGAATTCCTCACTGATGCTTGCCCTGCATGGTGCACTGCTCAGTACCACTAATCCTCAGGCTCCAAATCTGTCCATGTGAAAACTTCCTTATACCAACTTGGAAGCATTCCATAGATATCTGTCTAGAGTATGTTGATAAAAGACACCAGGCCATGTTAGCCTTTGCAACAACCCAAGCCTCTGTCTTCATAGAAGCCAGCAGAAGCCAGCAGGTGTAGATATATTATGGACCACAGCACTGAGAGGTCTGTCCCATAGTTCACATTCTGTTCATTGCCTTTTAAACTCTCTTTTACAACTCTGCTAAGGGAACAGGCTCAAAACTTTCTGAGTAAAGCCTTGAAACTTTGATTATAAACTATTTTAACAGGCAATTAAAATGCCCATAAAAAACACTAAAGATATGAAATCACTTTAAAGGGTAGTATGGTCAAATTTCCTTGGGGCATTTTTCAAAGGATGATTATTAAAATCTTCATGATAAGGAATAATACTTGGATATAAAATATAAATGCTAAATGTGGTGTACAAGTGCTTTAATATGAAAGGAAAAACAGCTGGACATACAAGTCATGGTTAGAAAGAGCATATAGAAATGCATAACAATAACTCACCAGTACAGAGAATGAGTTTCTGTGAATCACCTTAGTAAATTTGGATATAGGTGATCCTTAGGAGTATTGTTTTCAGAGTCAGGATCCCAGGGGACATGTCAATCATCAAACATTTTTAAAGTGTAACCGTATGAGGTACCAGGATAGAAACAGTATATGGATATTTGAGGAACATGGTACCTAAACAAGGAATCAGAGTCTGGCAGTAAGATCCTATGGAAGCTCAGCAAGAGGCTGAATTAGAATTGTCTGGAAAATAAAAAGCAGTGTACATAAATTCAAGAGATATAAGGGTTTCAATGTTATAATTGCTGTTTTGCCTTTTAAGTATCATTTTTCTTCTGATTATATATGCCATTCCTGCTGAATTCTAGTAACATGGCAAACAGCAAAGCACAAAGAAAACAAATTTATCATATTCTCAAATTCCCCCCACCATACACCCATTCTTTTCATTTTGAGATACATTCTTTCAGTCCTTTCATATATATCTAGGTACTTCTTTTTCTTTAGAAAAAAATGATATTATAATAACACACTGTTTTGCAGCCAATGTTTATTTTAGTGTTAAAATATGCTCAATTGCATAAATCGTTTAAAAATGTTTAAACCTTTCCACAGTGATTCAGAAGACACAAGTTCTGGGTTTCAGATTTTGCCCCACCATGTATCAGCTATGCAACTTTGAATAAAAAAAACCTTTAAATGTTCTGAAATTCAGTCACTGAAATTCATCTGTTTGCAATATGAAAATAATAATAACTAATGTTTATTGAATAGGCACAACTCAAAGTGTTTTCCATATACTATTATATAATCTTCCCAGGATTATATTTCAGGTAGATATTTTCTGAACTTTTTGGATTAGGAATCTGAGGCACACAGAGATTTACTGATTTACAGTCTCACAGCTAGACAGGAATGGAGTCAAGATTCAAACACAGCTAGTCTTGATCCTTCCACTCCCTATTAAGCACATGATGCTTGCCTTTCTGAAGGCAGGAGACTGAACATACGATTTCTTAACTCTTCTTATTCTAGGATCTAAGGCAAATGGCCTGTGAAATGAACATTTTCCTTATATGATTTCCTTAATCAAAATAACTCAAACCTAATTTCTCTCCAAGCACTTTTCTTCTGCTTGATTATATTTTGTGTGTTTCTCCTTACACAGCATGTATCTCTCTCTGTAATTCTTTGCCTAAGGGCAACTGGCTTCTTGCTAAATATTACATTTTTCAAGCATGTTCACATATAACAATCAGACAACAATCAGACAAAATCCGTGCCTTCATTGATCCCCCATAAAATATGCAAATTTAATAAATTAATTAGGATTCCCCTAGTAGAAGAGATAACAAATGAACTAAAACAGAAACAGTAAAATGTTAGGCAGTGACATGTAGTATTTTAGGTAAGATGGTTAAGGAAGACCTCTCTTAGTAATTAGGAGATATCCGAACTGAGACTTCATTAGAAGTTTGAACTGAGTAGAAAGTCAAGAATGTAAGTATTAGAGGAAAGAGTGCTCCTGATAAAAGAAGAGCAAGTACAAAGTCCTTCAAGCAGAGACAATTTTACGTTTGAGAAGAAAAGAAAGAAAGCCAGTGGGACTGGCTCATAGCATAATAAATCAGAAAAATAAAAAGCTGATCATCAGAGAGGTGAACTGGCAGTAGGTAATGTAGGAGTTAGATGGCCATCATGAGAAATTTGGATAGTACTCTAATTTCAATGCACTGAAGGTCTAGATTAATCCATTAATTTATATAATGGATATTAATTAATATATTTGGGCATTAATGAACAATATTTAGATATTATTCAAATTGAGATGGTCTAATTTCCATTTGGGTATTATTTGAATTTCAATGCACTAGAGGCCTAAGGAGAGAAGTAATAAGATCTGATTTATACAAAAAAGACCACTCTTGAGAAGATTATCTGTAGGGCAGCATCTGT